AAAAAATGGATGCCTGGATTGGTATATATTTCTTTTTTTATCTAATTTCATTGCAAGTTATGCAAATGATAAATTCCTCGAATATATTTTACAATCATGGAGAACCTCCTGAACGATGTTGCAAATCTACTATAAGAGCGATAAAAAAACTATGTGAGTGAACTAAAGTGTGAATAGGGACTTTCTCTGATTCATAACATCAATATATTGTTTTCTTTAGTTCAAGTGCTTTTTATTGACTATTGCGGGAATAAGAATGCCACCGTATGGTTCTGAATTTCATTTCTGTACATTACCGGAATTCGAAATTTTATTCCGAGAAATTTAATATTTAGCTTTCGAGTGGCATTTCCGATGTAGATAGCTTTGGGTTTTTTTTTTGTCACCATTTAGCCTTTCCAGATAACGCCATATTTGCCAAGAACGATAACTTTAATCTATTGCAGAATTTGTTCGGAGTCGGCCATGTTGATTTCATATGGCTCGGAGTAAGTAAGTATTTTTTGTTATTAATTATATAAAATAAGATAGGACCTTAACATAACAAAAATTGAGTAATGTTGGTACGTTTTGAGTAAAAATCATCTTTTATACAGTGTTTTGTTCTTGGAAAATCGCGTAAAGCACGAATAATGGTATTTTATTATGTACACGGGCGTAATGAAAATATGAATAATTTTTTTTTTGGAGGATAATGATAGGGTACGCTCAAGTTTCACTCATTTTCGTAAGTGGTAGACATACTGCTACAATATGTAAGATTACTGAAATTTTGGAAGCTATGGCTTTTTCTTACTGATTTTTTAAAGATTAATGCCTCAGTAATGTGACATGGAAAATTGATATTATAATGGCAACATGAGGGCACACTCATAGTTTCCTTCAATAATTAATTGATATATGTAAATTTAAGATATTAAAATATATATTTACGAAAAAACACGTTAGAGTTTAATTTATTCAATTACTTTTATGCCTCCCAATAGTTTCAACCATTCTAATAATTGAGTTACCTCCCTTTCATCATAGTCTTTTTCAATATATCATATGAAAAAAGTGATTTATATATCTCTTTGCAGATAAATTTCACCAGTTATATTGGGATGCTTTATGAGGTGTAAATAAACTTTCCTGGATAATCAAGGTAAATAGAATTTCATTAAATGCCATAGCTTACAAACATGCAATTATTTGCAACAATAAGCATTTTTTTCTTCCAGATTTCACTGATTACAGTACCCGCATCGTTATTCTTTACAATTCTATCGTGTTCTATCGTGCGTGTATCCTATCGTATCGTGCGTGTATCCTATCGTATCGTGCGTTTATCCTATCGTATCCTATCGTATCGTGTTTTCCGTTTATCAGGTTTTGCGTTTTCTATCGTGTTTTCCGTTTATCGTGTTTTGCGTTTATCGTGTAGATCGTTTATCAGGTTCTATCGTGTATCGTGTTTTGCGTTTATCGTGTATATTCGGAAACCCTCGCTTTTTATCTTTACTATGTCAAGAAACTACTGAGCTATTCCGAGTTTCTTTTTCGTTTTGTTAATAAAAATAAGATTAATTCAACCGAAAAAGAGAAAATAAAGATTTATCCCTTTCTTTTTCATCAATATAAGAAATATTAAAGCGTAGAAGGAAAAAATAATTAATCGCGTATTTCATGAATGAATAAATTGATTTATTAATAAATAATTAATTAAATAAATAAAATAATTATATCATGGTAAAGCAGAAAGTAATTGTCAAAATGTAAACAGTAACTCTATTTTTCGGAAATGAAATAATAAGTAGATTGATCACCTGGTCTATTTCTTTAAAAAATAATTTATCGAATTGTATGATTTATTTTGTCAAAATTAAATACTATTAATATGATTTTCTCAAATGAATCGGAGTTACCGTAGAAAGATTTTTGGTAAGCTACGATGTTCCCGTACACAAAAAGCAAATAAATAAATAATAAGCAGGATATTGAAATGTATCTTTTTTTCATGCAATATTCTGTTTTTCCTTGCTTATCGTCTGATAACGTTAGGAATAGGTTAACGCGTCTGACCTGCATGTATGCACAATTATTTAAAGTCTTGATGTTACAAATATAATATAACATAAGACAATGATCCAGCTGATTTAAACAACGATTTTAGCCGTATACGTTCAAATTTTAAATTATAAATTCCTTGACATATGTTTAAATTAATAAAAGAAATAAAAATTATAAAATATAATGCATGAAAATATTCTTCCCAATTTATCACACCATGGCCGTTACTATAAAATAGAAGATTTTCATTAATTTTATCTGGCATAAGATAACATAAAAATAATATATACATGTATAGGGGAAAACATGAAGTTTTTTAACAGCTTACCTTTTCGGCGTGGAAATAAACTCAAAATATAATCCATCATCGGGATGCCAAAAATCAAAATAAATCGAAGACCTTTCCTTACAAGAAAACTGACACGTATGTGTAGCTCCCTAATTAGCACACTGTCTTCCTGTGCGGTCAACCACCCCCGACCCCCTTCTCCCCTAACTGACACGTCGGCCCGTGTGTGTGATCACCGTCAAGGTACCTGTACTGATTTCTCACCTGGGGTCAATTAGTAACCTCGAATACTAGCTGGTTCTAATGAAACGCATCTACTTATTTTCGGGATTTTGTTCCTAACTTGTTTGAATAATTTTATCAAAGATTTAATTGAAAATATATTAAATAATTGTACAATTATGGATTAAAAAATCACCTTGAATGTTAAATTAAAATTCAAATAAATCAATTTAATGAAATGAAGTCCCTAAACTCACTCAGTTGATTTTTTTTCATTTCGTACAATGTTTCCATTGTGTTTATGAAAATAAGTCTTTTAATAAACTTTAAAAAAAAAATTATACTGCACTTATGGTACATGCACTTTCGACAAGACATAAGACAAGACAAGACTTTATTCTCATAAACTGTACAAACAGTATAGAGAGGATATTACATAAAATATTTACAATTAATTAATTAAGCATGCGTGAGACAAAGAAAAAAGGAAAAAAAAAAATGACAATGTCACAAACCAAGAGAGCCAACTCTCTCCATTATAGTTCCAATAAATTTACATAACTTAATTAATTTTTCCCTGCTGTTCAAATTAAATAGTTGGTCAAACTTAAAAACATTAGGATTTGTATAATAATATTTGGGCAATAGATTTAATCTAGAATTCTTAATGTATGGGTCAGTGCATTTAAATAAATAATGAAATTCATCTCCTATTTCCTTGCACAAACACAGGTGACAAATTCTGTTTTCTCTTGCAATATTATACCATCTACCTGTTTCAATTGGAAGCTTAGCATTACCAGTTCTAAAAATACAAAAATCGGGTCATCGGATTTTCTACGTAATACGGACAAAATTAATTCTAGGAAACAATTTCATCGATCGTAGAAACGGATGAAATAGTTCTAACATTCTAAACTATGAAAATTAGCTAACAATATTTTTTTAACGGTATCTTACTATAAAAATAAAACAAAGGGTGTCGTCTGATCCGCCGTGACCATGCAGGACTAATAAATACACCGAATCAATTTATAGTATTAATCGATTTTATTCCATACGTATATAACTTTATTTAAGAATTCAATACTATATTTGGCTATTTGGTTAGATCTTGTTTATCCAATTCTAAAATGGTTGCGGACTTTCAAAATACCGCCCTTCGAATTTGCCTAATATGAGATTACCAGGTCAGTGTAAAATGATTTTTAAGGTTTAATAATTCATATGCCGAATTAAACCTATTTTTTATTATTAGAATCAGAACAAACAGAATTTAATAGCAATGATTTATAATTATTTAGTCGGAAAAGTCGCATTTCACTCTTTTAATATTTGTTAATAAATTTTTCTGTTTTGTATTGTAAAGAAGAAAGTAATTATCCATTCAATGTTCGTTAATAAATACATGTACGAGGTTTTAAGTATCTGTAATGTAAAATGTTTACATGTACATAAGTCAGAGCTTAGCGTAAACGTACATGTGCAGTTGTAGCAGATTCATATTCTTATGACACAGTTTGCATGTATTAATGCAGAGCGCCATTATTTTAATAATTACTTAGATTTCTTTTCAGGAAATTTAATTTTCTTGAACTGTTTCGTTCTTGATAGATCTTTCATGTTAAATTTATTAATTTTGTTAAAGCCGTTTTCTTTAAACCTCTCTTTCGGCCGGTCTTCTACTTGTATTATTTTCTAAGATATTAATATTTAATTGCGATTTTTGGATACATCGCAGATTGTAAGTTTTAGACATTAAATACAAATATTTAATTTATTGCGTAAATTTCTTCTGTGAAATAACTTGGTACTTGTAGATAAATTTATTAGATAGAAAATTGAAATGTATATTTTCATAAATAATAAATCTGTTGATAGAGTTTCAAAATTCACACCCTTGAGAAGAAATTAAAAAAAAAAAATACAGTCTCCATTTCATAAAAATCCATTTAATCACTGTCAATTTTTTATATATATAAATAAACAACTTTTGTAAAATTAATACAAAGATCTCAGGTTCTTTTTATAATAATTAAATGTACTTTATAGTTTAGATTTGAAGCTCTGCAAGTATTTAAATTAAAATATAATTTAATTTAAATAATCTTTAATCTTTAAATTTAATTCTAAATAATCTTTTCGTCTTGTCAGAAAACGTTCCGCATTTTGAAAAAATCCTATCAGGTTTTGCGTTTATCCTATCGTGAAGATCGTTTATCAGGTCTATCGTGTTTTGCGTTTATCGTGTTTTGCGTGTATCGTGTTTTGCGTTTATCGTGTTTTGCGTTTATCCTATCGTGCGTGTATCCTGTCCTATCGTGCGTGTATCCTATCGTATCGTGCGTGTATCCTATCGTATCGTGCGTGTATCCTATCGTATCGTGTATCCTGTAAAGAATAACGATGCGGGTACTGTACCTAGCCAGAGACTGTGTGTAAATATTCTTTCGCTTGTTTGTTTATTCCTGTACATACCCCTTGTTGGAAAACTCAAAGGTAATTTCTTTACAATATTTAGAAGAACACTTATAAAGTTTGCCACATATAAAATGTAAGAATTTATTACAATTCTTTGAAATTATTAATGACAATTGTTTTTTTTTAAATGATAAATAATTAAATATATATTATGAATTTTATTTTCAGATTCATCTTTGGTTTTTCTTCATTGAAGATTTTTCCTAAAGACACTGAAAAAAAAAGAAAAAAAGAAAAAAAAGATTTATTCAGTTGAGCTTTTAAGGTATGTATTCATTAAATAATACAGAGGGATCACTTATTATGGCACTTGTCCATCTGTCAGTCTGAAATAAAAATAATACCAATGCAGGCGACACTACTTTAAATATTTTAAATGAAATAACTGATGGTCAGTCTTGTGACATTTTAAATAAGATTTCCAGTTTTATGACAGACCGTAGTGTTACGGAAGAGAAAATTAACAGTATTTTAATGAAAAAATGCAAGGATGATTTTAATTGTGACAAGGACTTTTATTCTTTTAAATGCTCTGTACATGCTCTTTTACAGTTTTCAGATCAGTGTTTGAAAGAAGTTTTAAATTTTGAAAAAGATGTAAATAATGTTTCTTTTAACAATGTATCTTGTAGAAGTAAGGAATCTTACACCTTTTATCTCATTTCATGTGTATCAAAACTTGTTTTTAAAGATGGAACAGGTGATCCCTTTTTAACAGCAACCTATGTAAAAGAACAAGGTTTTGACAAAGTACCTGTGGTGAAAGTCAAAGGGAATAGATTTAATGTTTTGTTTTATAATGCTGTAGGAATTTTTTGTATGAGAAAGCATATTTTACAGTATTTGTTATCCACAAAAAGTTCTTTGAATTCTTGTACTGATTTTATCGTGTGTGGCTTACAAAACAATCACATTTTTTGTATTTTAAGAGCACTTGGTATTATATGCAATTCATTTACTGAACCTTATTGGTCCAAGGCAGAAGAGCTACCCACTGCTTTGTCTATGGGTAGCGTGTACAGAAGAATTGTGGAATTTTTAGATCTTTGTATACAAGAACCTATTTTACCTATTATCAAGAAAAATGTCTCTGTTTTATGGTCCTTTTTTATCAACTGATGAAATTGTGGATGTTTCATATGATGATTTTTATAATGATGTAACATGTACAATTTTAAAAAAGTTTTGTGTATCTTTAAAAACCAAGTCATTGGGACTGTTCAGTCCTTTTATACAAGAAACTAGAAATTTTTTTAATTCATCTGAAGATGTTGTAAATAAGTGTGACAGTTGTGCCACAAACAATATTTCTGTAGAAAGGCTGATGGGCAGGTTAGATAAGAAAATGATAGACACGCCAACATCTAGTGTTTTTAGCATTGAGAACCACATTTTATTCTGTGACAATAAGACAAGTGAATGGTTGAAGGGAAAAACAACACCAGAAAAGAAAGAACTTTTAAGTAACGTTCGGAAGGAAGGAAGAGAAGTGTTGTCAAAGAATATGTTGGAAAACAAAATTATTGTTTCAAAATCACTTGAAAATTATAAAAGAACGACAAGACAGTGTTAAAGCAATGAAAGAAAGGAAGGAAATAAAAGTTAATGAACCAGTGGAGTCGATTTCGGATGATGGATTGTGGGACTGTGAAAGTAAGGTTGACATTACCTTAGAAAAGATAAAGAAGAAGACGGAAAAAAATCTCAGCAGTAAAAAAGCAATTGAATCTATATAAAACAATATTTCCCCTTAAGAAAGAACATAAAAGTTTAACTAAATTTTCAGAGAAAGGAAAAGTTTTTAGTTTAGAAATATTAATTGAAAACTTGAAGAGCATTATAAAACTAAAAAGGGAAAGTACCCAACAGGAATTAGTGGTTCCATCTTCTCTAGTGGGAAAAAAAATCATACATGTTTGGACAAACAACGAATACGAGAATATTGAATGGAATGGGGAAATCCTTGCTTATGAGAATGGAATATTCAAAGTAATTTATGATTACTTTAGTATTTAACATTTTGATATGAAGTTTACACTCAACTCATTTTAAAGTGGTATAGTGTGTTTGCATGTAAGAAAATCACACAATGAAAATTTTGTAAATCACTGTAACAATTCCACATCCCCAAACCTATATAAGATATGTATTTTGTTTATAGTGTCAAGTTATATTTTAGTTTTTCTTCATGAATTATTAATATTTTGAAGACAATATTTCAATTTGATTCAACCAAACAGGGAAAAAGAAGAAGGCATATGTTAAATATCATTTTTAATTTGACTTGACTTTGTAAACATTGCGAGACTTTGTGTTAATGAATTTTAGTATGCCTGCATTACTGATTACTAGGGCCATATTTAAACAAATGTTTGCTATTAAATTGATGAGAGAAATACAAAGAAAAAAATAATCAATGTATTGTTTTTAATCAGTTGGTCTTGAGAAGGCAAGCAAACAATTTTTTTTTAAATATGGCAGAGTATAATATATTTTTATACCTCTCATCTACATTGTTTTCTCTAAAGTACTTTTAACTTATTGAAGGTGTTTAAAAAGTTGTATGGAGTGATAAAGAAGTAAATTTGAAAATCATTTTGTGTATACAATTTGAAGTTGAAAATAAGCAACATATTTCTATTCTTGTATTGTTTCAAACTCTAGATAAGCAAAATTTCTTCCTATTTCAAAGTTTTCCTTTCAAACTCATCACAGTTTATTACAATGAAGTATAACATTCCAGTGGTGTGAGGTTGTTAAAATTTGAGCGATATAGTATGCTTTAAATATATAAGAAGTTAAAGCATTTAATCTTCAAGTAAACTCTATAACTACAGGTAACTCTCGAAACCTCGAAGTCCGCGGGACCGAGGAAAAACTTCGAGAGATCAAGAATTCGAGTTTTCAAGAGTCCGGATTTTTCCGGGTTTGTTTGACAGGTTTTAAAATTAGTCATATCGGATGTAATGATTTTCATGCAGTTATAACCTTTTACACGTGGTTTTTACAAAACAACGATATGTTTTCGTATTTTAAGTGAATATTTGTTAAACTGAATTAAGCAAAAAATGTACATCGTCAGTTCGTGTTTTTAAAAAAATTTTTAAGCATAGTATTACGGATATCATTCTACTCATTCGTTATATGAAAAAGGCATAGACCAGCGTCGCGTGGTACATAGCATTGTGACTTTTCCAAACATATGCATTGAACGAAATTCTGTATGCATTTGTCCAAAAAAAGTCGTCATATTGACAGCGAGGCTGTTTTTGAATTTTCATATTTCGTTAAACTTTGAAACTGATTCGAAATAAAAATTTAATTCATGAATTGTTTCGTCTCATATTAAATCTGCAATTACAGTTTCTCAGCGACACTACGTTTCTGAATTATCGTAATACAGACGATGATAATTATTTTGATAGCATATTAATTATAAATCAATTATCAACTTGCAGAATAAGTGTCACCTGAATAAACATCCCGTTTCACGAGACCCGCGTCTTCTGCCTGGGGTCATTAAATGTCCAGGTAAAGTTGCTAATTATGTAACTTTGTATACACATAGCCACTTCGAGGTATCAAGGGTGAATTTCAATAGAATATGCACAGCGGGACTGCAATTTTACTTCGAGAGATCAAGGGTTTCGAGAGATCAAGAGTTCGAGAAATCAAGAGTAAATTTGCTTAGTTATATAGGGAAAAAATTCGGGACCGGAGACTCACTTCGAGCGATCAAGAACTTCGAGAGATCGAAGTTCGAGCCATCAAGAGTTACCTGTATATATGTATGTCTTTGTATTTGTAATGTCTTACTTTGTGCTACATGTCTGTGTCTTTAAGTAAAGTAGATTTTAAAATATTTTTTCTCATGAAGAACATAACTGACTTACATAAATATATATTACAACAGGTGCAGTATTGGCTGGATGGTTGTGAGAAGGACGATGATGTTTACGAATTAACAGAACAGGAATTTCAGACAGATTTGAAGGACGGAAATTTGTTTATCCTCAGTGAGTTCATTTTACAATTCCTGCATTAATACACTACTTATTTTTGTTGAGGGTTTCTTTAATTGCTGGAATCAAAATTTCATTATAAATATGCAACATAAGAATATTTATTCCTTAATATAAGTATTTATTTCATTTTCAGACAGTACACAGTTGGATCACTGCTACACAATTTTTTGAAAAAGACTATAAGGTTTATTGAGTTTGTTAGAGTTATCTTCTTTAAAAATGATTATCTTTCTTTGAAATTATAGTCTTATATTTTAAATTGGATTACCTCCCTCTTTGAACATCTGTTATATTAAAAGAATTATAAAGTATTTTCAATTATTTATAATTTTTTTTTTCTTCATACTATAAATATATCAATATTCAATGCAGTCTTAAGTAATATTTGTAGAAAGGTATTTGAAAATCTTAAATATTGTTTTTTTTTAGGTTTTAAAATTTTATCTGGAAAGGCTACACCATTACATTGACCTCGCACCTTTAGAAGCACAGATCTCTATAATTCAACCCAATGCACTTCGTCATTTCTCTTTTCTTTCTCTCTTTTCTTTACTTTCCCCTTTCCTCATTACTTTTAAGCACGATATGAGAGCTGCGTCTTACAGAAAAGGAAAAACCAAGGTAATTTTTTGCAGTTTTTTTTCGCCTGTTAATTTCAAAATCTTATGTCAGAGCTAAAAATTATATCTGCAAATTGTCAGGGCCTTCATGATTTTAAGAAAAGAAAGGATGTTTTGCAATACTACAGACAATTGAAGTGTAATGTACTCTGTTTACAAATACTCATTTTACTATAGATATGGAGGAAGATATAAGAAATGAATGGGGATATGATGTATATTTTAATTCCATCTCGTCTCAGTCCAGAGGTATAGCAATTTTTTTAAATAGTAATTTTGAATATAAAGTTCACAACAATGTGAAAGATAACTCAGGTAATTTTTTAGCACTTGATATTAGCCTTGGGGATGTACGTACAAGTCTTATTGCCATTTATTGTCAAAATGACGATGATCCTGGGTTTTATAATATGGTTTCAGAATCAATAGATAATATGAACAATGATCATGTTATTCTAGTAGGGGACTTTACTTTAGTTATTAACCCAGATAAGGACTATCATAATTATCTTCATACTAATAATCCGAAAGCAAGAGAAAGGCTATTAGAAGTTATTTCTGGCCAAAAGTTGTCAGATATATTCAGAGAAATTACCCTGAAAAACAAAGATATACTTGGCGCAAGCCTCATTGTGAAGAAGTTGATTTTTTGTTGTATATATTATTCTAATTTTGTTCGAATGGGGTTCCATACATTTGAGTCTGTTTTGCCACGAGTATATAAAGGGACCGGTTTTGTCGGGGTGGTCAGATCCAGTTTGGTGTCCGGTAGCGTGACCAGCCGGAGGTGTGCCACGTTTGCTGTTTCCCCTGCATGATTATACAAGTGGCGAATATTTTGGTGAGATATAGCACCGAATGTTAACGGGTAGCCATATAACTTGCCAGGAGGATTATTGCAGCGTGTTTGTGCAGTTCTAGCCGGTAAGAGTGTTTCGAGTAATGTATATAGTTTGTTTTCTGGTATAAATTTCCGGTGTCAGTTGTATC